AGTCATCGTCCGGCGACCATTCTCCGGTTTTCCGTCGCGCCGCGGACGGTTGCTCAACGAAGAATCGCGCTTTCCATTCCGTGTTATCGCGCGGCCGATTCCGGCGATCGCGGATCAGATGTTGCGTAACATCCGGTGAGATCGTTCCTCGCGGGCGGAGGCTGAGGAGAGACGCATGCATCTCTCGGGCAGTCCGGAAACGGGCTGATTCGCGCAAACGTGTCGCGTCCGTGAAACGCCTCGATTTCGCAGGATAGCCGCGACGATGAAGCGATGAGGAGCACCGTGAAGACCCAGGTGAGGATCCAGACGATGTTGCCGCGCGTCGAGGATCTCGAGCACAGCGTCCAGTGGACCAGTCTGGCGAGCGACATCGACCGTCTGGAGAGACTCCGCTGGTCGCGCCGTTCTCGCGAACCGATCGAGAGTCAGGTTCATGAACGGGCCGTCGCGGCGAGCACCGTCAAGTGCGACGATAATCAGGAGGACACGCGGAGGAGCTCAGCTGCGGATTACCCGGAGGGCTCCCGTTGGAGCTGGAAGCCGCGGACGGACTTCGAGAGGGAGTACTTCTACAAGGATTACAAGGACTATTACTGCTCGGTCGAGTCCTCGAGACAGCCTTGCCGCCGGCGGTACTCGAGGGATCGCGGTTATCCGGGGAGCCCCGCGGGACGCTCGCGGTGCTCCGACGAGCACTTCAGCGACAGCAGGGAGAGGCTGCACGAGATCTTCGAGCACAATCGATACCTCCGGCGACAGTTCTTCGCGAGCGGGAACCCGCGGCAGGATTGGTTCCCCAGGCACCTCGACAAGAGCCAGCAGGAGGCTCCGAGGCGTTACAACGGCTTCGGCAGCACCGAAACGCTCACCAGCCAGAGCAATCAATCGTCCGTGAGCAGTATAAATGACCGGAAGTCTCGCCAAACGAGCCGCAGCCCGGAGTACCTCCACGGGCGCCGCATCGATCGCGATGACGCCGGTCGCACGGTGCTCGTCAACATCTTGCCCGGCAGCGAGGTGAGACGCGTCGACGTGAGACGCGCCGACGAGACGAAGCATGAAGACGCCGACCAGGGTACGCCCGATGATTGCGCCGCGTGGCCACCTGAGAGGAGTCTGCCGGAATATATTTTCGGGGAATCCGCGATGAACTTCCTCGCCGGCTCTCCCGATGCTCAGCAGGAGCGAAACGGACGATCGAGGACGAACGAGTGGCGGAGCGACGCGAATGATCGGACCGAGGACACCATCCCGGCGTCCGAGACCCGCTGGGATCTCAGCGGATTCTTCCCGAACTTGGCCGTCTCGAACCTCGACGCTCCGCTTTACGTCGCCCGTGCGGTCAACGTTCCTGAAGAATCACTCGAGCTATCGGATTATAAGCTCGACGGTCATATCGTAAGGGCGGAGCCAGGAAGCCGGAAGCACGGGGAGAAGACCGAAGAACGGACGATCAGCCGCGGACAATCGATATCCGGGGCGACGGATGAGGAGCCGGTCTCTCCCAAACGCTTGACCCCGCGAAAGGTCCCTCCGCCTCCTTTGGATTTAACCATGGTGAACGAGCTGTGCGAACGAATGATGACGGAAGAGAGGAAGTGTCTGAACGATTACAGCGTCGACGTGGCGATCCTGCGCAACCAAGACGTCAGAGATCTGCTGTCGGCCACGGACCTTGTCAAGGGCGACACCTTGTCGAAGATCGGAGACGGAGGTCGCAAGAAGAGCGACATGAAGAAACGGTCGTTCAAGCCTCTGCGCAAATCCTGCGGCGACCTCTCGTTGGCCGACGAGCTTCAGTCGCCGCAGCTCGTCAACAATTGCAAGAGCTCCACGTGCGATCTACGAACGGTAGATCCTGCCGTCAGGATAGCTCGACGTCCGATTGACCCTGATGCCTCCCGCCATGACCGAGCCATGACCAGCCCTTTGTTCGATCAGACCGGTCCGATTGGCGGGCTTCATGCCGGAAGCACGCTTCCGTCAGTCTACGGACCGATTCCGTACAGTCAGTAAACATGCGCATAATTTTCCTGAAATAACGCTCTTCCTGCTGCGTGTAAATAATCGGGCGCGCGCCGTTAGAAGTCGTTCGGTGTAGCTGTTGTCGGTAGGGAACTTGTTGTTCGTAATAGAGTTGATCGAAGAGAAGCGGGGCATCGATAGAGAGGCAATGACGGAGATATAGGCGGGTAGATAGATAAGTTTTACGCTTCCCGGTGGCAATTTTTAAGAATGTTTACAATTGAACAACTAGAAACGCGTGGTTAATGCTGGTACACATGAGGAAAAATTGCTCCGATAATTGAAAAACCTCTCTCACCACGAAAGACTCTCAAGCGGTGGAAGCCGTCAATACGGTAGTAAAGTGAAATTACACGAGAGAAGGAGACAAGGAGCGAGCGGATAATAAGGATAATAAGATACCGTAATTGAAGAAAAAATAAACTTGGCATTCGGAGCACGCGCGCAGAACGAGGGGGAGGAGACAGAATCAGCGGCGTGAGAATCTCGCTCGGAAGAAAGCGGTGAAAGGCACGCCTCCTGACTTCTGAAGACACCTTGAAATTCGGTTTCTCGTTTCGGCATTTATGATTAGTGCTTCGAGCTGTTATATACGAGCCGGCAAATTGGGTTATGCTGACGATATGAGACGGTGCTCGGGAACCCCGGTTTCACCGACGGAGAGAGGGCACCGATGAAAGTCTCCGATTCGACAGCGAGAAGGAGAGAGATTCGTGACTCCTCCGCGTGTCAATAAATCCTTCTTCTCCCGCGACGTCTTTTTGCCTTCCCATTCTTGAAGAGTCCAGGAGAACCTCTTTTTAAACCCGGAATGACAATTTTCAATCGGCACTAAAGTCGATTGCGGTCAGCCGGAGACCAGTGCCCTTCTTATGTCTGTTATACATTTCTCATGGTTGGAAAAAATTCGGAAAAGTCATGGCAGCACGTTCCCATAACTGTAAAAGAGAAAAAATAGCCACGTCGATATGAAAGTGCCTTGGAGTTGTCTGACTTTTTCACATAGAAATAAAATTACCGTCAATTCAAGATTCATATTCTCATATATAAACAACACGTGATCTTTTATGAGGATAAAATCGCTCTTACATGAAGAAATTACAAAAGAAATTTTACATATAGTTCCATTAAAAATATATTTATGTTATTCAATAATAGTTTTCATGAATTGAGAAAAAAATATTATATGAAAAAGTGATATTTCCTCAGACTGAGAATTGTGTCAGCTTGAAAATAGCGATTCCTTTTACATCCAATATTTTTTCCTCTTAATTCATAAAAACTTATTTGTTAATTCACTTAATAGAAAAACGTATATGCTGTCCATGTAATTAATCCTGCCATACGACGTCCGATGATGTTCTATATGAGATACATTAAACGAATGAAACACTGTAGGTGGTGCATATTATAAAAAAATTATTTAACTAGTAACTTTCTATTAATTTAACGATCAGTAATTAGTAAACCAACGTTAAGTTATTTGAATCGTTGTCCAACAACAAGAATAGCACATTTTTAATTGATCCACATATAGAATCCCTTCACGTAAAGATCATTCTTATCTTCACCTAAGATTACATATTCTTCCTCATATACCGCGCGAGAATACCTGAATTGATTTTCTCCCGTGCAGGGTTAACATCGGCCGATATTTAAAGTCAGTCTGAGCTTTCTTTCAGGGTTAACATCTCCCGACTCTTCCTTAGCCCAGACCGAGCTCTCCTCGAGTTTAACACCTCCGCCGTGATCATCGAAGAATCGCGCTATATATCACGTTGCTGCGCGTGATTTCGCGAGCTCTCGCAGAGGTGACGATGGAAATGCCTAAAATGCAGCTCTCGCGTCGGCGGAGTCATCGCGAGTCTGCGCTTTGCCCATCATCGCGCTGGAGATCGGCCGCGGTCTGCGCTAGTCTTATCAGTCGCACGGTGTAGTCCGACGCACGCGAGTGCATAGCGCGCGGGTGCGTTGCGTCTCGCGATTAAGTCTCGCGATTATCTCGCGCACGAGAGCAGGCGCGTATACGCACTTCTTCCGAAACACGGAGCCTCGGCTGCTTTTAAATGCCCGCTTGCACAGGAGGCTCGCACGGGAGTGACGCCGCACGCGAATCGATACGCGCTCGTTCGGGCTCTCGTCTGCTCTCGCGAGAAGGAATCAAATATTATCCGTTACGCGAAATCTCGCTACGAGGCGATCCTGTGATTTTCTTTTCTTCCCTCCCCCTCTCTAAATCGGCGTGTCCCGTTTTATAAGACGCTTCGAATACACGCTGGTACTTGGAGTGTTATCAGGCGTGATTGCGCTACACGTAAAATTCTGTTCAGAGACCGTGGCTGGGTTCTTGCTTCTGGTCAACGACCGCGGGGCATTAAGTATCATTTCCCTTCGCGGGGAAGCCATATGGCGGAATGAGCTGAACGAGTGACGACTTCGAAAGTGGGTCGCGTCTCGCGCGATTTTTTCCCCGTCAGATCGCCCGCCGATGAGTTGTGATCTCCTCGTACGCTCTAGTAATTCCATCTCGGATTCGCGGGTATCGCGCGAATCTCTTTGATCGCGACCGTGCGTATGCCATCATTTTTAACGACGTCCAATGGAGCGCGCTCGATGACGACGATTAACCCGACGGCACGTGCCCTACGCGGCCTGAATAAAAGGCAGCGAATCAATGGGACGATTCAACTCGAAATTAACGACTCCGCGCGGCTTCTCGCTCTCGCGGCTCGGGGATTTAATTCAGCTGTGAAGCAATTACGCGACCGCGCTACGTGTGCGGAAACGGGCCGAGAAAAATCTCGAAAATTCTTTTCTCTCTCATTCTCTTTCTCTCTTACCCCCACCATGTGTGCGGGGAACCTCGTGCGGTCTCCGAGCGAGAAGCCAAAATGAGCGGACACGTCGTTCCGGCGGGCGCGCCATGCAGTTCGCTCGATCGGTGCCCGATAAATGCGTCCTCTCTGATGCAGAATCGCCGAGGCGTTATGTGGAGGGTGAGGTAACGATTCACTATCGCTCGCCGGTGCGTACAGAGGCGAAGGAGCCGTTGAGCGAGGAGGAACTCGCGCGCCGAAGCGCGGAAAACATGCGGCGCGTTTACCAGGAGGAGCGCCGTCGCAAGTACCTCCAGGAGCTGCACGACATCGACTCCCGCAGGCACACGGATAACTTCATGTAAGTAAGAGTAAGCTTTCCTTCTTGCCTTTCAGTGCTCTCACACGCGCGTTTTGCTGCTCTTTCACTTGAACGCCCTCAAGGATGATAGTCTGCGCTTACTTAGATAGCCGTTGGACTAATGAATATTTTGGAGATACTGACGTAGTCAGTAGACGATTAGTAACCTCTCTCTCTCTCGAACTTTCATTTCCACACGGAAGAAACGGTTTGTTTTAGTTTATTAGAAATGGCCGTTTCGCTTGACAGAAACAGAATTTCTGGCCCTCACGAGTCGGCTCTTACAGCCGGGAATTCGGTTTCTTTCAACTGAAACACGTTTGATCCGTCCATTTCGGGTGGGTCGACCGAACTGTTTTTTATTACGTACAGATTTTATTTTAACGCTACCTCGAACAGCCTACCTTGACGCTGAATCAGCGAGAAAAGAAATTTGAGACGTCATCAGGGTCAAAATGGAAGTAAAACATATTATTACAATTTAAATTGAACCTACTTTGCTATCTTGATTCTTACTGTGTTATAGAATCAAAAAAAAATGATTTAATTGTACAACTTGAAATTTCTAATCGAGAAATGGACCCGTTTGAGTCGATCTCTTCTTTACGAATTTCGCGGGGCTCCCATAAGAGAAAGATGCTTTCGTTGAAAGACAAAGAAAAAGAAGAAAGCTATCCCTTGAATTTATTTCGATGTAATTCGTTCAAGGTTTCGGTCTCTCTCTCTCTCTCTCTCTTTCGTTTATGAGTTTCGCCGTTCTTTGCACAAGTGACGTCGTCTCCGACAACAACATTAATAACGTGACGAAAGACGCGTGCATCCTCCAGCTTGTCGCATCGGCTCGGAAACACCTCCAGCCGTTCAATGGCCGTTACGCAACGTACAATTGTGCGCCGTAAGCTATTTTACGCGGGCGTCACAATGAAAGCGTAATCGTGCGCGCAGGTAGAATAACGGAAAACCGGTTGTTTCATTGACGTCTCCCTCCGAAGAAGGTTACCGTAGTCCTGAATATTTTCATGGCAGTGAATAGAATAGAAAGTTTCTCGGTCGGGCAAGAGAGCACCTACTATCAAGGGAAGTCTCGAGCTTGAAATTCCATCTGATTCTTGAAATAAGATCATCGAGCGCCTTACTGCGAAGCACTGTCCCGCCCTATTCGTGGAAAATTTCGTGGAAAGAAATATCGGGGAAGACGAGAGCCCCCCTCTCTCTTTTTCTCTCTTTCCTTTGCTTCCATACCTAAATTTCCGCTTGCAATTTCTTCGAAGCGCGACGCTCGAAAACCGTCGCAGGAGAAAGAGAGTTGCCGAAGAGAAGTAGAATTTGCTTAGAATAAACAAAGAGACAATGTTGGTTGAGGAAATCTTTCCAATTCGAACCGGCGATTGCAGACCCTCGCAGAAGTCGCCCATACCTTTAAATCGCTACGACGACTTCGTGGACGATTTAAGCCAGAGAAGTCGATCCCAAGATCAAACGCCCGAGCCGCGGCTGGTGGCGAGAGCCCTTTACAATTTTGTCGGCCAGTCGTCACGAGAATTGACCTTCCGGCGCGGCGACATCATATTCGTTCGACGACAGGTGGACAAGAACTGGTATGAGGGCGAGTACAACGCGATGATTGGACTGTTTCCCTTCAACTACGTCGAGGTAACGAACTCCCTTATTTGATTAACATGCGAAAGTCGAATGTTTTTCGCGAAAAGACGCTTGTTTGCGAAACTCGGGCTTTACCTGCCGCAGATTCTACCATACGATGGCATGCGAACGACCCCGAAGAAGTCTCACGAAGGACAGGCACAGGCTAAATTCAACTTTGTCGCTCAGACTAATCTGGAATTGTCCTTAGCGAAGGGTGAGGCTATTGTTGGAAATTTCACTTCCTCAGCAATAATACGAATATTTTCCACTATCTGTTTCTGCTTACAGGCGAGCTGGTGGTGCTGACCAGAAGAGTCGACGAGAATTGGTACGAGGGACGCATAGGAAACCGCAAAGGCATCTTCCCGATTTCCTACGTCGAGGTCATCACAGAACCCGGACATCGATCAGGTAATACTACGAGGCGTCGGGTTTTTAAAGGGAGACGGAAAATCCCCGACAGATGTTGATCACGGGGTGCGTCATTATTTCAGAGACTCCGATTCAAAACAAACCGGTGGCCTCTCCGGCGGCGCACAGTCTCTTAGCGAACGGCTCCTCCGGAGGCAAAATGAGTATGGGACCGCATCATTACGTGCCGTCCATCCCGGTCAATATAAACACAACCCAGCCCCATTATAATTCACTGGTAACTATCGCACGATATCTCATGCGTTCGCTCCAACGATGAAGAAAAAGTCCCTCGTATTATGTAGTAACACGACCGTTCGAACTTTCAGCCACGAATGGGCGGAAGCAAGCTGCACGTATCGCAGCTCAGCGAGACTCTACACATCGACACGCACTCGGAACCGATCCCGTGAGTCTTCCTTCGCATCTCTCGCTCTTTGATTCACATTGAAATTCAATAGGCTTTTCTCTCGCAGTTTCCTCCTTGCTCCACGCATCGTTTCGAATCAAAGATCGTCGTGAACGTCGAAGAAACAGCGGACAGAGTTTCGTTCGATTTTACTTGTTGTTTTTTATGCGTTCGTGGAGGACGCGAGGATTATACGACAAATTATAGTTTTGCACGGACTCTGAGGTTACAAGCCGAGGAAAGATATATAATATATATAAATTTATATCGTCCTATAAAAATTACCGAATTTTATATCGCTACAACGATTAGGCTCGTAAAGACCCGCTCTGTCTTTCCTTGCGAAGATTTGATCGCGACTAAATGACTCTTATTGCCGCATCACCCGTTTTATTATGTTTATCGTAAATATATAAATATGAAAAATAGATATAGATTGATGATTGATTATGATGATAACTCAAAGAGTGGTATATTGTCGCTTTCAGATATCGGGCGCTGTACAACTACAAACCGCAGAACGAGGACGAACTGGAGCTGAAGGAGGGCGATACGGTATACGTGATGGAGAAATGCGACGACGGCTGGTACGTCGGCTCCAGCCAGAGGACCGGTTACTTCGGCACTTTCCCGGGTAACTACGTGGAGAGATTGTGAGGCAGGCCGACGATCCAGGACCTGGACGCGTCGCGCATCAAGGCCCAGGATAACCTTTACCAAAGCACTAGACGGGATCGTTAAGATACACACACGACAGGCCGGATTTCTGCGTTTAATCCGATCGCTCCTGGTAAGACGTTCTCGGCATCCCCGAGCACGACGCTGCGGAAGCTTTCGCGTCGCAGTCTCCGTCGGGAAGAGATTGTCGTAGAAGCGGATTTCCCTCTGGTAACTGTTAATACTTTTATTAAGATTGTGTGTAAAGGTAATTCTACTGTAATCCATAGTGTCACCGACGTCTTCGATAAGCGCTAATCAGGACGGTTGATTTCTCTCTCATTGCGTTTGTGCTCTAACGATTTCTCTTAGACGCGCGAATTACTTAGGACGAGAAGCGCTAGGACGGTTTGTCGTCTTTTACGCTTCGACGGTTATTCGGATTTGATTAATCGCGTGATTTGTTGGCACATGTCGGTTTGCAAATTCCTACTCGTAATATCATCTGTGCTCGCGATGCCTCGGAAATCTACTCGAGACGATTCCTTCCGAAACGATCGTGTAATACGTAATTTCATACAGCACCGTCGTACATGATACAACGAATGAGGGTCCTGCTTAGACCCGCACGAATACCAGCGTCGCATTAAAAGCGTCGTCTCGAGTCGAACGAATAACGGTAGAAAAGTCACACGCAACGTCGCTAATATTCTGATCGGACCGGCAATTACTCGTCAAGCGAAAGCTCGTTAAGCGTACGTAGCGGAAAACAAAGAACGTCACAAGAGTCTTCCTTTTTGGGTATAGCAGCGGTGTTATCGGTAACACACAGGGGAATTAGGACTAATCATAGAACGGTGTTCGCGGCGAGACGTGACGGCGCTCCCGCACGATCGGAATTAATGACGCTGCGTGTCGCGTATTTTTTACACCTTCTTTATCGTTATCTGTCGCTGAACTGCGTCAACGTTCGCGGAAATACGGGTATACATCGTCAGTGTAAATTCATCGCGATTAATACGGGCCGATGTCGAGGATCGAACGCGTTGCCAATATTCAAAACAATTGTCCAAGGTAATCGCTGACTGTGTCGGAGGGGCCTCTTTGCCGTCGGTTCTACCAAAAAGATCTAGCGAGATAGTCCGCTAAGGATACGCGAGTCTGTAAGTAGTTGTACGATAACGATTAGTTAACTTATTGTTATTTCTGTTTCTGCCGGCCAGCCCGGGAAACGTCGTAGTGCGCGCGTTTCCAAGTGAATTTTGCGACGCGGTGAAATTGCGTTGAGGAAAATGACAAGAAAGAAAGAAACGGAGAAAACGTACGAAGGGGAACAGGTTCGTCGAAAGGGTTCCTCGAGACAGCGGACGCAACGCAATTAGTTTGAGAAATTGCGGAACGGCTGTTTTGCGCCGCAGGAGCGAATTAGCAGTTACAGTGAATTGTGTTGAATTAGGCGCTACGGGTCTCCCTATAATTTACTTGCGGTATACTGTAGATAAATCGGCCACTGTTATTGTTGCATTCGCGAATATATTCGAGACTAACGACTTATAATTGAAAGTTTGCCTTCCCAAATTAATATTTTTGTAAGCGCATTATTTGTACCTAGAGTTATATATATATATAAACGCGGACACACATAAAGAGTAGAGGAGAAATACATATATATACATAAGAATATACCGTATATACATAGTATATCACGAGATATATAATATATAATATAAAGGGATATCACATGTAACTATACCAGTTGCGACTACTAACGCGTCGGTGTACACGCAGAGACATGACAGAAACGTGGTCTATAAATGTACGAAACACACACACACACACACACACACGTTTTATGTATGTATAATCAATGTAAATAATTGCGAGGAGAGGATCGCCAGGTTCCTCGCGACGTAAAAGTAACGTCAACGTCGCCGCGGCATCATCCAAGTCACGTCGTCAAGATCATTTCTAACGTCACCTCGCCATGATCGCCTATCCCCTCCTAAGGGTTGCAACAATAGAAACGCAGCCGGGAATCAGACAATACTATAACTACAATAATAATTAACGGGACGTGAGATAAGAAGAGCGTGGCAAGGGCATTATACAGGCGCTGCAGTGTATCCGATAAAGCGGTAGATGTCGTTTTTACCTTGCGAGAAGGAGCTGATCGTCTCGTCGTTTGCCTCGTGTCCTCGGCGAACGTTTGCACGAGCGAGCGTGTGCGTAAAGCGTAAAAAAGCTCGGCCGTCTCTCGCGCCTGTTCCGATTGTCAGTAATTGCACGACGAACATCGAAATTCTTTTGGAAATTTCACGAATATCAGACGGTCGGATCATCAGATTTTTGTCACTTAAATCGGGAACTCAATTAAGTGCGCGAAATTTCCCCCATCTGCGTCTATATGAGAGAGAGTGAGAAAACGCACAACACGTGCAATGAATATAACACTCGGGCGGTTCGCGCGCGCCGGACAACCTTGCGTCTTGCGTGATACGCAACATTGTGCGTACACGCGCATATATTCACGTACATATCCCACTGTGTAAGTCGTAAGACGGTGTCTTCCACGCAGCGCGGCGAGATCGCAAGCGATCCTTGTGGAACGTCCGAACGGCGCGCGACGTAACGCGAACGTCAATAACAGACGCAATAAAAAGACTTTCGTTTCTCTCCTTCAGTCACACCCCGAGAAATGTGTTTGCGGAAGTTGTAACACTTATTTTCACACGCAGCCCAACTTTTACTTCGTGCAACACGTGATCGGCACCGATGTAAGCCAGCCGCTTGTCGAGCGACACGACCGATTTCTTCAGACTTCTTTCCCATTGACGTTGCGGTTTTACGGCGGCTCTACACAACGTTTTAGCGATAGCATCGGGCAGAAAATTTACCTGCTTTGCGACACGATAGCCACCGACTGGCGCGACCTTACTGATTGTGCGTACTGCGCTTGGTTCAACTCGAACTTCACCAGCGACGATCCGAATTCAGTTGTTTTCACGATATGCGTTCTCGCGCTCTAACGATGTTACTATGTATTATATATTCTAGATGCAAATAAAACCTAGTCCATTACTAAGATCTGTGAATTATCGCGACGACGATGACTTACAGTGGTGTATGTATTACTTCTCGAATATTAACGGCCAATAAGGTTAATCGCTGTTAATGATGCACGGAAATGTCGTCAGAATATCTAAAGTTTATCGGATTATTCGACGGACGAAAGTAAAATATGACATCGACGTTTGCAAAATCTTCAAAGAAAGTACACTAAGATTCTTAAATGCACTTAGGAGAAAGTGAAAGATACGTCGTAATATCTAATAAAAAATAGATATACTTAACATAAGCGCATGATAGCGCGGTAACTCGTTTCTTTACCGTGCCGAAACCTTCCAGAGAGAAAATAAAGATCCTGCTGGCGCTCAAGGCGCTATTAGATCGCAAGCTCTTTTTTATCACGTGCAGGAGCAGCCTTTGCAACTTCACGGGTATATTGTACCAGCTACAGCTCTACCTAGAACGTTATCATTAAGGTTTCAGATAGCAGCCCTTTCTTCCTTTCAATTGGTCCATTGAACGTTAATTTCGACATTAACGCGGTTGCCTTACATTTTATCACGTATTTGCAGACTGTGGTCTATCAGTCTTTGGCCTTCACAACAAAAGACGAGTAAGTGAACCAGTTGGGCGAGCACGTAGAGAACGTACCTCATTGTTTCTACAGTGTCCTCGGATTGCATTGTGATCTCGAAAACCATCAATGTAACGTCGTTTTGCGTTCGTTACAATGCTACAATGTCAGAGATAGAGTAGATAGAGTTTTCAATAGTTTCTTAACGTGTAGATACGTACTTAAAATAAAGTCGTGCTCGTTCATGTTTCTTGAAGAAATACGCGGACTTCGGCAACGAGCAGCCGAATAAATTTCGAGCCTTGTTCTTCAGCGTGATGGGCGATTTAATTATTCACGTGGACGGTCGTAGAGTATCGCACACATTGTTATTACATATTTGAATTTTCTCGCGCAACAATCGTCGCATCTTGCAGGTGAATGCAACTTGACAACGTGGCATCTGTGCGCACTGTCGTTAATGAAACGGGAGAATTTTACGCGCAACTTCCCTTCTGTACGAAAAGTATCAATTGAAATGTAGCGAGAGGAAACAAGTTTGTCCGACTGAGTAGCGAGGGTTGCAAAGTTCCTTTGTCGGAGAAGCACATCGGAGTACAACAGAAACACCAGTAAAGAAAATAATGAAAATCGCGATTGTAAGTAAAGAGTGAAGGAATCTTCTTTCTTGTTCGCTAGCAATTCATTCTTCGTTCGAGTTTGAGAACGCATCCAGCTTTGACAAATCTAACTTCGCGGATGTCATCGACAACGAGAGAGAAAGCAAACTTCAGCGAAGAATGTTTTCTTTTGCGATAACCATCAGGGCGCTATTTGTACCTCAGACTATATCGATGAATGAAGTTTACTGGTTTTTAATTTTTAATTTGTTTTTTTAGAATTTCGTGTGCAATGGTTTAAAATATAATGCGCAGCGTCACGGATCATATAAATTACGAATATTGTATACGCGAAAAATAGTATTTTATTTTACTTTTGTTTGTAGGACATATTAAAATATATAAATCATATCTTGAATACCGGCGAATTTTATTCATTTTATTCATTATATTTTACTCAATTATAAGCTTTACATAATTATAAATTCACAGGAACATTATTAAACTATTGAGTACCGTCGGTTACTCAACTGACGAAAGCACAGTAAAATATGATAACGACGTTTGCAGTACCTTAAAGTAAAATTATTAAAAGACTTAAGACACTGCGATATGCAATCTAATATCTGTTATAGATCTAATGGACAAAAAATGAAGTTAATTTTTTAACAAATTATATAACGATAATTATTTCTTTACCGCAGTGAAACCTTGCAGAGAGTAAATGAATATCTTGCCCGCGCTCAAGGATTTGGGTCGCAAACTCTTTCTTAGCACGTGTAGAATCAGTCTTTGCGACATGACGGATATTTTGTACCAGGTGCTGCTGTACCTACAATATATGAACGTTAATAATATTGTCCGAGGTTCAGCTAGCAAACGTTTCCTTGTTTAAATTTGTCCATCGACATTTACTTAAAACGACCGTGGTTTCCTTACATCTTGTCATGTATTTGTAGACTGTGGTCTATCAGTCTTTGGCCCTCCCAACAAAAAATGAACAAATGTATCAGTTGGGCCAGCACATAAATGATGTGCCTCAATACTTCCACAATGTTGTGGGACAGCTTCGTAACCTCGAAAGCGACAAATATTTCTTTATCTGCTCCGATTAGAATTATAATAATTGGAAATAATAATAATTATACTAATTCGTGACATTATTCAATTTCTATTACGCTAAGACAGAATGTGTGCAAGAAGAATGTCGAAGTTCAAATTAATTCCTTTTAACAAATTAGATGCTTACTTGCAATAGGGTGATACTCAGTACTACTGTCACTAACAGTAATTCTATACCGAAATTTAAGGAAAAAGTATTCTCAAGACGTTCCGCGAATCTGTGGCAAAAAAGATATAGCAATGGCAATATTTTTAAACAGCATTATTGTTTCCGATATTAAAAAGCAAAGAAGTAAGAGTGAGCCAAACCGTAGTTTTTACTTCGCACCATAATACATTCATTCAATAATACACACGAACAATACACGATCGTTCCGTCATTTTTGGGACACACCGTATAAAGTTACATACTCACTCTAGAGCTGCACGATGCGCGTCAACGCTGCACGCCATTCTATTATTATACGTCTCATCCGTGTCATTATTAACAACTTTTACTGCATCGATATTCTCAAATACCAAATGCTCGAAACGAAATCTGCGAATTGTTATAAGACACTTAACGCGGGGATATTGAACCATCGTATTAAGTGACAAATAACGCATATTCGCTCTTACCCGGTTACAGCGAAGATGCCACAGACGTGTTCCACGAAAGTAAAGAATATGATATCGTAGGCGATAAGACCTATCATACCTATTTCCGCGGCTATGAGATCGTAACAGAAAATATAAAAGAAGTATTTTCTCTCATCAACGAAGTAATACGCCTCAAACGGCAACACTATGGGGCGGGACTCGTTGAGGGGTAACACGATGTCCAGTATGTGCGGTATGAGAGACACTAAGATAAATATGTGGAGACCTATCATACAAACTGCTGCAACAAGCATTCGTTTTCATTATCGATTGTAAAAGTGCGAAAAAACTAAAATTGATTCGTCCTTACCGGTATACATAAGGACAATCCATCTCGCACTCGTAACGTACGTCTCCATGATTTCGTACTCTTCCACGTTCTGCAATCTTTTCCAATCGATGGAAACGCGATCCGTGAGAATCTTAATCTGGATTTACCGTCGATGAATATTAAATTTTACTGAACTGCTTATCTCGATAGCTGGGAAATCTCAGAAAAACGCGAGAGACAATATTTCTCGATCGATGTGAATTTAAGCGTATCAACATACTTTGCTAGCCCTGAATTGGCTTATATACAGCTTCACCATGACCACAAGTACGAGTATATACGGTGGCAGAGTCCTGGTAATGCACTCCAAGTTTTTGTCGCATTGAATAAATTTGCACGTCTGGAAATAACATTGTTAACAGGCTGCTTAATAGAACGAATTCTTACATCTGTATCTAGTTCAATTTATTTAATAGAAACAGGCTGATTAAAGCTAATAATTGAAATAGATGCGCGATATATTTATGAAGGTATACTATATATGAATCAAAATCAAAAGAAACTTCACATGTGGTAATGATGATATAGTAATAATACAAGCGTTGCTAAACTTGATGCTCTCTGCGTACCGCATAGGTCAAGTGATTCATTATCCACTGTCGAATGAGGAATGAGTGAAACAGGTGTAATCGTGAAATTTCACGGAGGCTCGAACCTGTGGAACGTTTATGACAAGTACGGCAGTCGTTACTATACTCAACCTGAGCATCTTCTCATTCTTATTCTGATAAGGCCACTGTCCGGCGAGCGATAAAACTCTCTTCGTGAAGCTGTAATAACGATCCCAAATGAGCTCCATGCTTTTTCGAAGAAATATTTCGTCCTCGGCTGTCCGTAGCTGACTAAATCTGTCTCCCTCGGTGAATAAGGCGAATTAATAATTCACGTGAATATCGGTGCGTAAACCGCGTACAGTCGTGTGTTATAGACATGTCAATATTATACACTCGAATTCTATCGCGTTACAATTGCATGTGTCGCGTCTCACAATATATGTGGACGCAATTTCGCAAGATATCATTTGTATTCTGTCGTTAGTGAAATAATAGAGTTGCACGAAAAGTATAAATCAATATGTCGGGAGGAGAAATAAGTTTCTCTGGCTGTGGAGTAAATGGAAAGTTCCCTTGTTCGAGGATCACACATGTAGAAGCATACGATAGGTGATAATAAGAATATTAGAGAATAAAAAATATAAGAAATGTAAGAATAAGAGATACTAAAAATTACTAAGCCAATGCCGAGTGCAGAGATCTTCTATTTTACATTTTTTCAATTTGACAACAACGTGTCGCCTTTGGCAAAAGCATCGGTAAGTTGAATTTACTGATAGTTTTTAATTGTTCTATTACGACGTTGTAAAGGATCAAAATATAATACGTAACGTCACGAACAATATGAATTATGATTATTGTGTATACAAAAAATAGTATTTTATTCTGTTTTATAGCACTGGGCATATTGGCATATGCATAGATACTAGAGAGATTACTTCTCGAATACTCGCGATTTTCATGATATAATTATAAATTCACAGGAACATTATTTGTTTATTGACCGTTGGTTAATCAACTGATGTGAGTACGGTGAAATATGACGTCGATGTTCGCACTACCTTCAAAGTAAGAGTATTAAGTTTGTTAAATAAACTGAAAACAGCACGAGGGAGATGCGATATAACATATAAGATGTTCGAAATTTTCTAGAGCCGCCCAATGTGCGTCCATGCTGCACGCCATTCTTTTATTATACGTATGAATTATATCGTTATTAACGATTTTTAATGCGTCGACTTCCTTGCGTACCAAACGTTCGGAACGGAATCTGCAAATTGTTAAATGGCACTTGACGTCGAAAAAGTGAACAAAATATCAAGTGATAATTAACGCATATAAATTGTTCTTACCCAGCCACTGCGAAAATACCACAGACGTGTTCGACGAAAGTTATGAACATTGTATCGAAAGCGATAAGACCCATTACAGGCTATTTCGGCGACTGTGAGACGATGAAGGAAAATGTAAAAAAAATATTCCTTCTCATCGACGAAAAAATACGTCTCGGAAGGCAGCACTACAGGGCGAGATTCGTTGAGGGGTAACACAATGTCTAGTATTTGCGGCACGAGGGACAACAATAAGAATGTGTTGAAGACAGTCAGGCAAACTGTTGCAATAAACGTTTTACATGCCGATGGTAAGAGTGACATAAAACCAAATCGTACGCAGCGTCGTGGATGATATGAATTAAGAAAATTGTATAGATGAAAAATAGTATTTTATTTTGCTATTTTTTATAGGATCGAGCATATTAGAATATATAGATAATTTCTTGAATACTGGTGATTTTTACGGCATAATCATAAATTCACAGGAACATTATTAAAGAACTGAATACTATCGGTTACTCAACTGACGAAAGCACAGTAAAATATGACATCGACGTTTGCAGTACCTTCAAAGGAAAATTATTGAAAAGACTTAAGACTCTGCGAGATGCAATTCAATATCTGTTATAGATCTAATAGACAATAAATGAATTTAATTTTTTAATAAAATATATAACGGTAATTATTTATTTACCGCGGTGTATCCCTGCAGAGAGTAAATAAATATCCTGCCAGCGCTCAAAGATTTGGGTCGCAAACTCTTTCTTAACACGTGTAGGATCAGCCTTTGCGACTTGGCGGATATTTTGTACCAGGTGCTGCTGTACCTACAATGTTTGAATGTTAATAATATTGTCTGAGTTTCAGCTAGCAAACGTTTACTTAAATTTGTTTGTTCAAATTTGTCCATCGATATTTATTTAAAATGACCGCGGTTTCCTTACATCTTGTCATGTATTTGTAGACTATGGTCTATTAGTCTTTGGCCTTCCCAACAAAAGACGAACAAATGTACCAGTTGGACCAGCACATAATTGAAATATCTCAATACTTCCACAATGTTGTGGGACGGCTCCGCAACCTCGAAAGCGACAAATATTTCGTTATCTGCTACGGTAGTCCGATTAAAATTATAATGATTGGAAATAATGATAATTATAAAAATTAGTGACATTATTCAACTTCTATTACGCGAAGACAGAATGTGTGCAAGATGAAAGTTGAAATTTAAATTAATTCCTTTTAACAAATTAGTTGCTTACTTGCAATAGGGTGATACTTAGTACTACTGTCACTAACAGTAATTCTATACCGAAATTTAAAGAAAAAGTATTCTCAAGATGTTCCGCGAATCTGTGGCAAAAAAGATATCGCAATGGCAATATTTTTAAACCGCATTAATGTTTACGTTATTAAAAAGCAAAGAAGTAAGAGTGAGCCAATCCGTAATTTTTACTTTGCACCATAATACGTTCGTTTAGTAATACGCACAATCAATAAACGTTCGTTCCATCGCTTTTGAGACACACCGTATAACGTTACATACTCACTCTAGAGCTGCCCGATGTGCGTCAACGCTGCACGCCATTTTTTTATTATACGTCTTATCCGTGTCATTATTAACAACTTTTACTGCATCGATATCCTCAGATACCAAATGCTCGAAACGAAATCTGCGAATTGTTATGTGACACTTAACGCCGGGAGGTCGAATCATCGCATTAAGTGACAAATGACATATATTCACTCTTACCCGGTCACGGCGAAAATGCCACAGACATGTTCCACGAAAGTAAAGAACATGATATCGTAGGCGATAAGACCTACTACAGTTATTTCCGCGGCTATGAGACCGTAACAGAAAATATAAATGAAATATTTTCTCTCATCGACGAAATAATACGCCTCAAAGGGCAACACTATGGGGCGGGATTCGTTGAGGGGTAACACGATGTCCAGTATGTGCGGTATGAGAGACACTAAGATAAATATGTGGAGACCTATCAGACAAACCGCTGCAACAAGCATTTGTTTTATTGCCGATTGTAAAAGAGTGATAGTACTAAAATTTATTCGTCCTTACCGGTATACATAAGGATGAGCCGTCTCGCACTCGTAACATACGTCTCCATGATTTCGTGTTCTTCCTGGTTCTGCAATCTCTTCCAATCGATTGAAACGCGATCCGTAAGAATTTTAATCTGGGTTTACCGTCGATGAATATTAAATTTTACTGAACTGCTTATCTCGATAGCTAGAAAATCTCAGAAAAACGCGAGAGACAATATCTCTCGATCGATGTGAATTTAGGCGTATCAACATACTTTGCTAGCCCTGAATTGGCTTATATACAGCTTCAATATAACCACAAGTACAAAAATATACGGCGGCAGAGTCCTAGTAATGCACTCCAAGTTTTTGTTGCACTGGACAAATTTGCACGTCTGGAAATAATGTTGTTAGCAGGCTGCTTAATAGATCGAATTATTACATCTTTATCTTGGTCAATTTATTTATCAAAAATAGGCTTATTAAAGTCAATAAATGAATATAGGTGCGCGATATATTTGTGAAGGTATACTATATATGAAACAAATTAATCATATCTTCACATGTGATAATCATGGTAAAATAATAAAGCGTTGCTAAAATTGATGCCCTCTGCGTACCGCATAAGTCACGTGATTCATTATCCACTGTCGAATGAGGAATGAGTGTAACAGGTGTAATCGTGAAATTTCACAGAGGCTCGAACCTGTGGAACGTTTATGACAAGTATGGCGGTCGTTATTATACTCAACCTGAGCATCCTCTCATTCTTATTCTGATAAGGCCACTGTCCGCTGAGCGATAAAAATCTCTTCGTGAAGCTATAATACCGATCCCAAATGAGCTCCATGCTTTTTCGAAGTAATACTTCGCCCTCGACTGCCCGTAACCGACTACATTTGCCTCCCTCGGTGAATAGGACGAATTAATAATTCATGTGAATGTCGGGGCGTAAACAGTCGAGTGTTTCTGACGTATCGATATTACATACTCGAATTCTATCGCGTAACAATTGCGTGTGTCGCGTTTCACAATGACACTACGCAATTTTGCAAAGTATCATTTGCATTGTGTTCTTATCTAAGCAATACAATTTGCATGCACTAGGCTTCCTTCCGCGCGAGAAATATCAATCGAAATGTCAGAAGAGAGAATATAAGTACTTCTGGTTCCGTGGGGTGCAAGTGGTGGAAGGTTCTCTTGTTCGAGGATGACGTATCGGAAACACGTGGGAAAAGATAATAAGAACTGCGACTCTAAGTCGGAAGAACAGAAGTCTTGTTTCTTGTTCGTTCCGAAATATTATCCATTTGATTTTAAACACGATGCGTTCATCTTTGGCGAGTACATCGGTAAGTCGGACTTATTAGTGGTTTTTAATTGTATCAATACGACTCCGTGTAAAATGATTAAAATGTATTGCAAAACATCCCGCTATCTATGTACGATATGCGATAATTACAATTACTTATTTCTATTGTACTATTGTGTTTGTAATTTTAACGATGTTACTATACTCTCGAATAATTAGGATGAATTTAGACCGATATCTTTTGTATACTTTGATAACTACTTAGGTTTAATCAGACATAATTTATAATAGGCTTGAGCGTGAAAGAAATTTGTGTTAAACCACGGATCATCAGAAACGAACAGATCATAAATATTGCGTGTAAGAAAAATATTAGGTGCTTGAAATAATTCTCGCTGTTTTTTGCTATAAAGATCTTGCTGGCGTTCGAGGCGCTATTAGTTTGTAACCTCTTTTTTAACTACCGAGTACTATCGGTTACTCAACTGATGAAAGCACTGTAAAATATGATATCGACGTTTGCAGTACCTTCAAAGTAAAATTATTAAAAGACTTAAGACACTGCGATATGCAATCTAATATCTGTTATAGATCTAACAAACAAAAAATGAATTTAATTTTTTAACAAATTATATAACGATGATTATTTATTTACCGCGGTGTATCCCTGCAGAGAGTAAATAAATATCCTGCCTGCGCTGAAGAATATGGGTCGCAAGGTCTTTCTTAGCACGTGTAGGATCAACTTTTGCGACTTGGCGGATATTTTATACCAGGTACTGCTGTACCTACAATGTTTGAACGTTAATAATATTGTCCGAGTTTCAGCTAACAAACGTTTCCTTGTTTAAATTTGTTCATCAACATTTACTTAAAATGACCGCGGTTTCCTTACACTTTGTAATGTATTTGTAGACTATGGTCCATTAGTCTTTGGCCTTCCCAACAAAAGACGAACAAATGTATCACTTGGCCCAACACATAATTGAAATGCCTCAATATTTCGACAATGTTGTGGGACGGCTTCGTAACCTCGAAAGCGACAAATATTTCATTTTCTGCTCTGGTAGTTCGATTAGAATTATAATAATTGGAAATAATGTTAATTATACTAATAAGAGCTGTTATTCAACTTCTTACGCGAAGATAGAATGTATGTGAGAGGAATGTCGAAATTTAAATTAATTCTTTTTAACAAATTAGATGCTTACTTGCAATAGATTGATACTCAGTATTACTGTCGCTAACAGTAATTCTATACCGAGATTTAAGGAAAAAGTATTTTCAAGATGTTCCGCGAATCTATGGCAGAAAAGATATTGCAATGGCAATATTTTTAAACAGCATTACTGTTTCCGTTGTTAAAAAGCAAAAAAGTAAGAGTGAGCCAATCCGTAATTTTTACTTCGCACCATAATACCTTCGTTCAAAAATACACAAGGTCAATACACGATTGTTCCGCAACTTTTGGGACATTCTCTATAACGTTACATACTCACTCTAGAGCTGCCCGATGCGTGTCAAGGCTGCACGATATTCTTTTATTATAAGTCTCATCCGTGTTATTATTAAAAATTTTTACTGCATTAATATCCCCAGATACTAAATGCTCGAAACGAAATCTGCGAATTGTTATGTGACACTTAACGTCGAGAGGTCGAATCATCGCACTAAGTGACAAATAACGCATATACACTCTTACCCAGTCACGGCGAAAATGCCACAGGCGTGTTCCACGAAAGTAAAGAACATGATATCGTAGGCGATAAAAGCAAACATACCTATGTCCGCTGATATGAGACCAGAACACAATATATAAAAAAAATATTTTCTCTCGTCGACGAAGTAATACGCCTCAAAAGGCAGCATTATGGGGCGGGACTCGTTGAGGGGTAACACGATGTCCAATATGTGCGGTATGAGAGACATTAAGATAAATACGTGGAGACCTATCAGACAAACCACTACAACAAAGATTCGTTTTTATTGCCGATTGTAAAAGTGCGGAAAAACAGAAATTGATTCGTCCTTACCGATATACATAAGGACAATCCATCTCGTACCCGTAACGTACGTCTCCATGATTTCGTGCTCTTCCAGGGTGTGCAATCTCTTCCAATCGATGGAAACGCGATCCGTAAGAATCTTAATCTGGATTTACCGTTGATGAATATTAAATTTTTCGGAACTGCTTATCTCGATAGCTGGGAAATCTCAGAAAAACGCGAAAGACAATATTTCTCGATCGATGTGAATTTAAGCGTATCAACATACTTCGCTAGCCCTGAATTGGGTTATATATAGCTTCAATATGGCCATAACAACAAGCATATATGGCGGCAGAGTCCTGGTAATGCACTCCCAGTTTTTGTCGCACTGAACAAATTTACATATCTGAAAATAACATTGTTAGCAGGATGCTTAATAGAACGAATTATCACATCTTTGTATTGTTAAATTCATTGAATAAAAAATAGGCTAGTTAAAGCCAATAATTGAAATAGGTACGCCACATATTTATGAAGATATACTATATATGAATCAAAATAAAAAGGAACTTCACGTGTTATAATCATGATATAATAATAAAACAAGCGTTGCAAAAATTGATGCTCTCTGTGTACCACATAGGACACGTGATTCATTGTCCACTGTCAAATGAGGAATGAGTGTAACAGGTGTAATCGTAAAATCACAAAGGCTCGAACCTGTGGAAGGTTTATGACAAGTATGGCGGTCGTTACTACACTCATCCTGAGCATCTTCTCATTTTTATTCTGATAAGGCCACTGTCCGCTGAGCGATAAAAATCTCTTCGTGATACCGTAATAACGATCCCAAATGACCTCCATGTTTTTTCGATATAATACTTCGCCCTCGGCTGCCCTTAGCCGACTAAATTTATCTCCCTCGGAGAATAAGGCAAATTAATAATTCACTTGATTTTCGGGGCGTAAACCGCGAACAATCGTGTGTTACAGACAAATCAATATTACACACTCTAATTCTATAGCGTAACAATCGCGTGTAATCGGCGCGTCTTACAGATGAATACAACTTGACAACGTGACATTTGTGCGCACTGTAGTTAATGAAACGGGAGAGTTTTACGCGTAATTTCCCCTCCGTGCGAAAAGTATCAATTGAAATGGGGGGGAAGTACCAATTGAATAGGGAGAGGAAACAAGTTCGTCCGACTGAGGAGCGAGGGTTGCAAAGTTCATTTGTCGGAGAAGCACATCGGAGTACAACAGAAACACCAGTAAAGAAAATAATGAAAATTGCGATTGTTAGTAAAGAGTGGAGGAATCTTCTTTCTTGTTCGCTAGCAATTCATTCTTCGTTCGAGTTTGAGAACGCATCCAGCATTGACAAATCTAATTTCGCGGATGTCATCGACAACGAGAAAGAAAGCAAACTTCAGCGAAGAATGTTTTCTTTTGCGATAACCATCAGGGCACTATTTGTACCACAGACTATATCGATGAGTAAAGTTTACTGGTTTTTAATTTCTAATTTGTTTCTCTACAATTACGTGTGCAAATGTTTAAAATATAATAGGCAGCGTCACGGATGATATGAATTACGAATATTGTATATACGAAATATAGTATTTTATTCTGCCCATTTTTGTAGGATTGAACATATTAGAATATATAGATCATCTCTTGCATACTGGCAAATTTTACGGAATAATTATAAATTCACAGGAACATTATTAAACTACCGAGTACTATCGGTTACTCAACTGACGAAAGCACAGTAAAATATGATATCGACGTTTGCAGTACCTTCAAAGGAAAGTTATTAAAAGACTTAAGACACTGCGATATGCAATGTAATATCTGTTATAGATCTAATAGGCATAGAATGAAGTTAATTTTTTAACAAATTATATAACGTTGATTATTTATTTACCGCAGTGAAACCCTGCAGAGAGTAAATAAATATCCTGCCAGCGCTAAAGGATGTGGGTCGCAAGCTCTTTCTTAACACGTGTAGAATTAGCCTTTGCGACTTGGCGGATATTTTGTACCAGGTGCTGCTGTACCTACAATGTTTGAACGTTAATAATATTGTCCGACATTCAGCTAGCAAACGTTTCCTTGTTTAAATTTGTCCATAAACATTTACTTTAAACGGCCGCCATTTCCTTACATCTTGTCATGTATTTGTAGACTATGGTCTATTAGTCTTTGGCCTTCCCAACAAAAGATGAACAAGTGTACCAGTTGGCCTAGCACATAATTGAAATGCCTCAATGCTTCCACAATGTTGTGGGACGGCTCCGTAACCTCGAAAGTGACAAATATTTCATTATCTGCTCCGGTAGTTCGATTAGAATTATAATAAATGGAAATAATTATAATTATACTTGTTATTGCCATTATTCAAATTCTATTCCGCGAAGACAGAATGTGTGCAAGATGAATGTCGAAATTTAAATTAATTCATTTTACAAATTAGATGCTTACTTGCAATAGGGTAATACTCAGTGCTACTGTCACTAACAGTAATTCTACACCGAAATTTAAGGAAAAAGTATTCTCAAGATGTTCCGCGAATCTGTGGCAGAAAAGATATTGCAATGGCAGTATTTTTAAACAGCATTATTGTTTCCGTTATTAAAAAGCAAAGAAGTAAAAGTGAGTCCAATCCGTAAGTCTTACTTCGCACCATATACCTCCGTTCAATAATACGCACGATTATTACACGATCGTTCCGCCACTTTTAGGACATTCTGTATAACGTTACATACTCACTCTAGAGCTGCCCGATGCGTGTCAAGGCTGCACGCTATTCTTTTATTATAAGTCTTATCCGTGTAATTATTAACAACTTTTACTGCATCAATATTTTCAGATACTAAATGCTCGAAACGAAATCTACGAATTGTTATGTGACACTTAACGCCGGGAGGTCGAATCATCGCATTAAATGACAAATAACGCGGATACGCTCTTACCCAGTCACGGCGAAAATGCCACAGACGTGTTCCACGAATGTAAAGAACATGATATCGTAGGCGATAAAGCATACCATAGCTATGTCTGCGGCTATGAGAGCGTAACAGAAAATATACGTGAAGTATTTTCTCTCATCGACGAAATAATACGCCTCAAAGGGCAGCATTATGGGGCGGGACTCGTTGAGGGGTAACACGATGTCCAGTATGTGCGGCATGAGAGACATTAAGATAAATACTTGGAGACCTATCAGACAAACTACTGCAACAAGCTTTCGTTTCTATTGCCGATTGTAAAAGAGCGAACAAACTAAAATTATTTCGTCCTTACCGGAATACACAAGGACAATCCATCTCGTACCCGTAACGTACGTCTCCATGATTTCGTGCTCTTCCAGGGTCTGCAATCTCTTCCAATCAATGGAAACGCAATCCGTGAGAATCCTAATCTGAATTTACCGTCTATGAATGTTAAATTTTGCTGAACTGCTTATCTGGATAGCTGGAATATCTCGGAAAAACGCGATAAACAATATTTCTCGATCGATGTGAATTATGCGTATCAACATACTTTGCTAGCCCTGAATTGAGTTATATATAGCTTCAGTATAGCAACAAGTACAATCATATATGTCGGTAGAGTTCTGATAATGCATTCCCTGTTTTTGTCGCACTGAACAAATTTGCAAATCTGGAAATAACATTGTCAACTGGATGCTTAAGAGGACGAATTATTACATATGTATCTTGTAAAGTTCATTTAATAAAAAAGGGGCTTCTTAAAGACAATAATTGAAATAGGTACGCAACATGTTTATGAATGTATACTATATAGAGATCAAAGTAAAAAAACCTTCACATGTGATAATCATGATACAATATTAAAACAAACTTTACTAAAATTCATGCTCCTTGCGTACCGCATAGGTCACGTGATTCACTATCTACTGTCGAATGAGGAATGAGTGTAACAGGTATAATCGTAAAATCACAGAGACTCGAACCTGTGGAACGTTTATGACAAGTATGGCGGTCGTTACTATACTCAACCTGAGCATCTTCTCATTCTTATTCTGATAAGGCCACTGTCCGCTGAGCGATAAAAATCTTTTCGTGATACCGTAATAACGATCCCAAATGATCTCCATGTTTTTTCGATAAAATACTTCGCCCTCGGCTGCCCTTAGCTGACTAAATTTATCTCCCTCGAAGAATAGGGCAAATTAATAATTCACGTGATCTTCGGGGTGTAAACCGCGAACAATCGTGTGTTACAGACAATCAATCAATATTACACACTCTAATTCTATAGCGTAACAATCGCGTGTATCGTGTTTCACAATAACACGTGAACGCAATTTCGCAAAGTAGCATTTGCATTCTGTCGTTAGTGAAACAACAGGTGTGTCCGAAAAGTATTAATCAATATGTCAGGAGGAGAAATATGTTTCTCTGGTAGTGTAAATGGAGAAAGTTCCCTTCTTTGAGGATCACATATACAGAAGCATGCGTCGGGAGATAATAAAAATACTATAGAATAAAATACATGAGAAATGTAAGAATAAGACACTAAAAATTACGATTCTAAGCCAGTGCCGAGTGCAGATATATCCTATTTTACATTTTTTTCATTTAGACAGCGATGTGTCGCCTTTGCTAAATTCATCGGTAAGTTGAATTTACTGATAGTTTTTAATTGTTCTATTACGACTGTGTGAAGGATCAAAATATAATACGTAACGTCACGAACAATATGAATTATGATTATTGTGTATACAAAAAATAGTATTTTATTCTGTTTCATAGCACTGGACACATTGGAATATGCATAGATATTAGAGAGATTATTTCTCGAATACTCGCGATTTTCATGATATAATTATAAATTCACAGAAACATTATTTGTTTACTGACCGTTGGTTAATCGACTGATGTAAGTACGGTGAAATATGACATCGATGTTTGCACTACCTTCAAAATAAGAGTATTAAGTTTCATAAATAAACTGAAAACAGCGCGAGGGAGATGCGGTATAACATATAAGACGTTCGAAATTTTCTGCCAGCATTCATGTGAAACTAAATCGGATTATACTGAGCCAAAAAGTCTTGCTATATTTAACGAGTAATTCATTAATCCATCTGAGTGAATACTCCGTTCAAATCTACCAGATTGTCCGAGACGGGATATCACTATCACATATCAGCAGCTGATATTTATCGTTTCTAGAAGATTATAAGAATTAATCCATTTTTTATATATTGTACGCCATCTGTTTTTATGCATATCTACAGAATTCGTCTCATTCTTTCCGGCACGCTCATTAACGTAGATTGATTAATTAATTACTTGTTAACTGTTGCATAATTTGCAAGGTGGTATATGACTTTTCTGTTCAGTTTAACAGTTGGCGGAAAAATATCAGACGCACTATATAATAGTGAATAAATGAGAGAATATGATTCTTTTACAAATTATATCACGTAATATGGTCGTTTCTTTACCGTAGTGAATCCCTGCAGAGAGAAAATAAACATTCTGCCAGCGCTCAAAGATTTAGGTTGCAGGCTCCTTTTCAGTACAGGCAGTATTAGCTTTTGCGACTTCGCGGGTATTTTGTACCATGTGCTACTGTATCTACAATGTTTCAACGTCACAAATATTGTCCAGGTTTTAACTAGCAAACGTTGCTTTGCTTAAATTTATTCATCGACAATCACTCTGAAGTGATCGTGGTTGCCTTACATTTTCTCATGCATTAGCAGACTGTGGTCTATTAGTTTTTGACCTTCCCAGCAAAAAACGAATAAATGTACCAGTAAAGCCATCACATAGTTAATGTGCCTCAAAGCTTCTACGAAGTTGTGGGACTGTTCCGTCACCTCAAAAACGACAAATTTAATATTTCGTTATCTACTTTGGTAGACCGATTATAATAACAGAAGATAATTATGATTATAGTAAATTCGGTGACATTATCCGATTTACATTATACGAAGATAGAATGTGTATAAGAGGAATATAAAAATTCTTTAACAAATCAGATACTTACTTGAAACAATGTAATACTCAGCACTATTGTCACTAACAGTAATTCTATACCGAAATTTAAGGAAAAAGTATTCTCAAGATGTTCCGCGAATCTATTGCAAAGAAGCATGACAAAGTAGTATTTTTAAAGAGTATGTCTCATTCTATTTGCTTCAATAAAAACCAATAGGACCAACAGGCCAATCTGCAGATTGCTGCCATGCACTATAATATGATACGTACATAACAATGTTACATACTCACTCTAAAGCTGCCCAATGTGCGTCCATGCTGCACGCCATTCTTTTATTATACGTATGATTCATATCGTTATTAACGATTTCTAATGCGTTGACTTCCTCGCGTACCAAACGTTCGAAACGGAATCTATAAATTATTAAGTGGCACTTGACGTCGAAGAAGTGATCAAAATATCAAGTGATAATTGACGCATATAAATTGTTCTTACCCAGCCACTGCGAAAATACCACAGACGTGTTCGACGAAAGTCATGAACATTGTATCGAAAGCGATAAGACCCATTATAGCTATTTCGGCGACTATGAGACCATGAAGAAAAATGTAAAAAAAGTATTCCTTCTCATCGACGAAAAAATACGCCTCGAAAGGCAGCACTACAGGGCGAGATTCGTTGAGGGGTAACACAATGTCTAGTATTTGCGGTACGAGGGATGACAACACGAATGTGTTGAGAACAGTCAGGCAAACTGCTGCAATAAACGTTATCGTTTCAATTGCTGATTGTAGGTGTGACATAAAACAAAAAATTGTTTCGTTCGACTTCTTACTACAATGCATAAGGGCCATCCATCTCGCACTCCCGACGTACATCTTCATGATTTCGTGCTCTTCTGGGTTCTGCAATCTCTTCCAATCGATGAAGACACGATCAGCGAGATATTTAATCTGGATTTTACCATCGATGAACATTAAATTTCACTGGACGGCCTATTGCCGTAGCTCGAAAATCTTATGGAACCGCGAGAGACAATGTCTCGATAGATGTGAATTTGAAAACAACATACTTTGTTATCAACATACTTTGCTAGCTCCGAATTGGCTCGTATACAACTTTATTATAACTAGAAGTACGAACATGTACGGCGGTAGCGTCTTGAAAATGCACTCCAAATCTTTGTCGCAATGAACAAACTGGCATACCTGGAAACAATATTGCCAGCAGGTTGCTTAACCCTCCGTATGATTCGCTGTTTTGCATTAACGCTACATGATTCGTGGGTCATTTTTCAGGGACAGAATCGCTTCTCTCGCTACGTATAAGTAAAAAAATCGAAAAAAATGTTTCGACATTATTTCAGGTCTCTAATTTTTATTATAAACATTGCTTAAACTTTCAATTTTTATGACTATTTTTTTTTAAGAAAACACAGAGGAAAACAAACATTTTTGCTACTTGAAGGAAAAAATTCATAATGTTTAAACGCGTTGAACGGAAACAAATTTCCGTACATTCACATTTCTGAAAGATGCTATTTCATGAATAAAAAAGGCTTAGCGATGTCTGCATACCACATAGGTCATGTAATTCATTATCCACTGTCGAATGTAGAAACGAGAATAACAGGTGTAAGAATAAATGTGACAAAGGTTCTAACCTGTGGAATGCTCATACCAATCACTGCCACCGCCACTACACTCATTCTGAACACCTTTTCTCTCTTATTCTGATAAGGCCACTGGCCGACCAATGATGAAAATTTCTTCGTGATGCCATGATAACGTTCCCAAGAGAACTCCATACCTTTCGAATGAGCACTTCGCCTTCGGCTGCCCGCGGCCGACTAAATTTCGAATATTCTCTTCGGGCGAGTGGAACGAATTAATAATTCACGTGAACGTCGGAGCGTAGAACGTGGGCGGTAAAGTGTTGCATGCGTATCAATATTACACGTTAAAATTCGAACTCGTAACAATCGCGTGTCTTGCAGCGACAGGAGGGCGCATTTTCACAGAGTGGCATTCTATCATTAGTAAAGCAACAGCACTGCACGCACTACGTTTCACTCCGCGCGAAAAGTATGAATCCAAATGTCGGGAGAGAAAATAAGTTCTTCTCGTTATGGGGTAAAGGATGGAAAGCTTCTTTGTTCGAAGATCATACATCAGAAATACTCGGAAAGAAAAAAATAAGAATTCTATAGAATAAAAAACATGAGGAGATATAAGAATAAGAAGTGAAAATTACGATTCTATACTACGAATGCACAGATCTTCTGTTTTGCATTTTCCATTCAATTTTGACAACGACGAGTCCACCCTTGGCAAATGCATCGGTAAGTCGGGTTTACTGGTAGTTTTTAATAGTTTTATTACGATTGTAAAGGGTTAAAATACAATACATAACGTCACGAATAATACGAATTATGAGTATTATGTGTACAAAAAATAGTATTTTATTCTGTTTTATAGCGCTAGACATATCGGAGCATGTATAGATACTAGAGAGATTACTTCTCGAATATTGGCGATTTTAATGACACGATTAAAATTCATAGAAACGTTATTTCGCTACTGGTCGTCGGTTAGTTGACGGACGAAAGCACGGTAAAATATGACATCGACGTTTGCACCACCTTCAAAGTAAGGATATTAAAATTACTAAAGCAACTTTTAACACCGTACGAATAACGTTACAATATGTAATACAGAATTAATTGGAGAATACGATTTTATTTTGTAAATTACGTCGCGCGTGATCATTTCTTTACCGTGGTGAATCCCTGCAAAGAGAAAATAAACATTCCGCCGGCGCTCAAGGATTTCGGTCGCAGGCTTCTTTTCAATACAGGTAGTAACAGCTTTTGCGACTTGATAGGTATCTTGTACCAAGTGCTACTGTATCTACAATATTTCGACGTTATGATTATTGTCCAGGTTTCAGCGAGCAAACCTTACTCTGTTTAAATTTGTTCGTCGACATTTACTTTGAAATGACCGCGGTTGCCTTACATCTTGTCATGCATTAGCAGGCTGTGGTCTATCAGTCTTTGGCCTTCCCAACAAAAGACGAATAAATGTACCAGTTGAGCCATCACATAGTTAACGTGCCTCAATGCTTCCACAATGTTGTGGGATTGTTCGGTGACCTCGAAAACGAGACATTTAATATTTCGTTATCTACTACGGCAGACCGATTATAATAATTGGAAATAATTGTAATTATAGTAAAATCGACTTCCATTGCGAGTATAGAATGTGTATATACAAAAGAAATGTAAAAATTTCCTAACAAATTAGATACTTACTTGAAATAAGGTAATACTTAGTACTACTGTCACTAATAGTAATTCTATACCAAAATTTAAGGAAAAAGTGTTCTCAAGATGTTCCACGAATCTGTGGCAATAAAGACATTACAATGACAGTAATTTTCAACAGCGTATCTTATTGCTCCTGTTATTAAAAACCAATAAGACTAAGTCAGTCCGCGGATTTTTGTCTTGTTATACGATATACAATGTTACATACTTACTCGAGAGCCGCCCAATGTACGTTCATGCTGCACGCCATTCTCTTATTATACGTATAATCCATATTGTTATTAACAATTTCTAATGCGTCGACATCCTCGCGTACCAAATTCATGAGGCGAAATCTGCAGATTGTTAAGTAGCACAACATCGAGAGGCTGAATCTTCACGTAAAGTGATATATAACATATACAGGGAGTCTATCGCTAAATGGGGCATCCATCATATATTTGTAATTTAGGCTAATGCGAACAAAAAAAATCCTTTCCTTAATTAATTGTTCATAAATTGGCGTGGTTATTTGCCAAACGGTAAAAAACTTTTTTGTCCACATTGGCTTAAATTACAAGTACACGACGTGTTTCACTAAGCATAGGCAGACATTCAGTATATGTTCTTCTCACCCGGTCACGGCGAAGATGCCACAGACGTGTTCGACGAAAGTAAAGAACATGGAATCGAAAGCGATAAGAGCGATTATAACTATTTCCGCGACCGTGAGGCCATGGAGGAACAGGTAAAAGAAATATTCCCTCTCATCGACGAAGAAATACGCCTCGAAAGGCAGCACTATAGGGCGAGATTCGTTGAGGGGTAACACAATGTCCAGTATTTGCGGTACGAGGGACACTAAAATGAATACCTGGAGAGCCGTCAGACAAACCGCTGCAACAAACGTTCTTTTTTACCGCCGGTTGTAAAAGTGCGGTGAAACTAAGAATTAATTCGGCCGCGTCCTCACCGGAATACATAAGGACGATCCATCTCGCACTCGCGACGTACGTCTTCATGATTTCCCGCTCTTCTGGGTTCTGCAATCTCTTCCAATCGATGAAAACGCGATCCGCGAGAATCTTAATCTGCATTCACCGTCGATGAACATGAAATTTTACTGCTTATCGCGATAACTCGAAAATCTTAAGAAACCGCAGGAGACAACGTCTCGGTCGTGAATTTAAGCGTATCAACGTACTTTGTTTGCCCTGAACTGGCTTATATACAGCTTCATCATGACCACAAGTACAAGTATATACGGCGGCAGAGTCCTAAAAATGCACTCCAAGTCTTTGTCGCATTGAACAAACTTACATATCTGGAAACAACATTATTTCTAGCAGGTTGCTTCACGCGACTAATAATTAAACCTCCTCTATTTCGTACAATTCCATTAACTAAAGGAGGAGGAGCTGATTAAAGCTGACAGTTGAAATAGGTGGGCAATGTATCTATGAAGGTGTGGATGAAACTATGAATCGAAATCGAAGATACTTCGTGATAATAATGATAAAACAAGCGTTACTTAAATGGCTCTTATCGCTTTCGATTCCATGTTCTTGTCTGCGTACCGCATAGGTCACGTGATTCATTGTCCAACTGTTGAATGTAGAAACTAGAGTGACTGGTATGGGGCGTATATGTTTGTTAGAGGCTCTAACCTGTGGTACGATCATGGCAATCGCAGCTCCTGCCACTATACTCATCCTGAACATTTTTTCTCTCTTACTCTGATAAGGCCACTGACCGACCATTGTCGAAAGTCTCTTCGTGACGCCGTGATAACGATCCCAAGAGAACGCCTCCATGCCTAGCAAACAAGCGCTTCGTCGGCTGCCCACGGCCGACTGAATTTCGAATATTCTCCTCCGGCGCGAATGGAATTAATAATTCACGGGAACGTCAGGGCGTAAACCGCGAACAGTCGAGTGTTACAGACGTATCGATATTACATTCTCGAAATCTATCGTAACAATCGCGTGTGTCGCGTCTCACAATGACACGTGGACGCAATTTCGCAAAGTATCATTTGCATTGTGTCGTTAGCTAAGCAATACAATTTGCGTGCACTAGGCTTCTTTCCGCGCAAGAAATATCAATCGAAATGTCAGAAGGGAGAATATAAGTTCTTCTGGTTCCGTGGGGTGCAAGTGGTGGGAGGTCCTCTTGTTCGAGGATGACGTACCGGAAACATAAAGGGAAAAGATAATAAGAACTGCGACTCTAAATCGGGAGAACAGAACTTTTGTTTCTTATTCGTCGCGAAGTATTTTCCATTCGATTTTAAACACGACGCGTTCATCTTTGGCGAGTGCATCGGTAAGTCGAACTTATTACTGGTTCTTAATTGTATCAATACGATTCCGTGTAAAGTGATTAAAATGCAATGCAAAGCATCACGCCGGCTATGTATAATATGCGATAATTACAATTACTTATTTCTATTGAATTATTGTGTATACACGTAATAGTATTTTATTCTGTTTTAAAGAACTCTGAACATATATTGGAGAACATGTACGTATTACTTCTTGAATACTGAGACTATTTTCATACTGCATATTTTAATTCTTTACAAAAACAATTCTTTAGAAACATTATTTAAATATTAACTATTGGTTATTGGACGGACGTGAGTACAGTAAAGTATGACATCGACGTTTGTATTACCTTTAAAGGAAGAGCATTCTTCAAAATTCTTAAAGAGACTCGAGATTACGCGAAATATTCCTTAATATGTAGTACAGAATAATTAAATTTAATTTCAAAACCAATTTGATCGCGATATTAGTTCTTTTACCGCGGTAAATCCCTGCAGAGAATAAATAAATATCCTGCCAGCGCTAATAGATTTGGGTCGCAGACTCCTATTCAGCACGTGCAGAATCAATCTTTGCGACTTCAGAGGAATTTTGTACCAAGTGCTGTTATATCTGCAATGTCCACCCGTTACAAATATTGTCCAAGTTTCTACTAATAAACGTTTCAATGTTTGAACTTATTAACCGAGAATTTATTTCAAGATTATTACGATTGTCTTACATCTTGTCACATATTAGCAGACTGTGGTCTATCAGTTTTTGGCCTTCCCAACAAAAGATGAATAAGTGGACCAGTTGTGCGACTGCGTAGATCGCGTACCTCATTGCTTCTAAGAAGTCGTCCGACTGTAGGGTAATCTCGAAAATGACAAAACGATAAAAGATAATATTTCCATTATTCAATTTTGTAATCCGATTGTAATTATTAACGCATTCGGCTGCATTTTTCTTAGATTTATTACATGAAGATCGAACGACTGTCAGAGGAGCGTGAAAATTTCTTACACGTAAATACTCACTTGAAATAAGGTGATACTCATTACTATTGTCACTAACAGTAGTTCTATACCGAAATTTAGGGAAAAAATGTTCTCAAGATATTCCGCGAATCTGTAGAAAATTAACGTTATAATAACAACGTTTTTACAATAGCAATTTCTTTTTAAACAAGATATCTGATTGTTGTGTCAGGTTACTTAGTGATATCAATTCGAAAAAGTTCAATGCGATTATGCCCAATAATTCCTATTATTATTCATCATGTTTATCGCGATTGCCAATAAACTACGAAAATTTATATATTTCTAGGATTAAACTTCTCATTCCGTTAAAACAAATTCTACTTGAACCGATATGAAAAACAGTATGTAGATTCTCTTTTAATCTTTCATTAGTTAAAAATTGTTTAAATACCGGCACTTTAATGAAAAAAAAATAAATCGTGAAATAATCAACCTTTTATTAAAATATAATAAAGCAAGATCGGGTAATTCTATATAATTTTATCTTGTAGTAAAAAATTCTCTCTCATACATACTCTAGAGCCGCCCAATGCGCGTCTACGCTACACGCCATTCTTTTATTATACGTACGGTACATATCGTTATTAAACATTTCTAATGTGTCGATATTCTCGCGTACTAAACACTCGAAACGGAATCTGTAAATAGTCATGCGACACGTAAAATCGAGAAAGCATTATGTGATATATATATATATATATATATATATATATTACTGAGAAAAAAATTTATTTGTAACTTTAATCGTATAAATGAAATTACAGCCAGGAGAACCATTTTCCCAATAAGTATTATTATAATGACAATAATTCTGCATGCATATTACTACTATTATTCTTTGAGTTAAATTAAAAAAAAGAGAGTTAAAGCAAAAAATTATTATTATTTGATGGGGATTTCTTTCAATACATATGTCCTAGTTACCCGGCCACGGCGAAGACGCCGCACACATGTTCGGCAAAGGTCATGAACATGGTGTCGTGAACAATAAGACCCATTATAGCTATATCCGCAATTATGGCTCCTTGGAAGAAAATGTAGAAGAAATATTCTCTCTCATCGACGAAATAATACGCTTCGAAGGGCAGCACTATGGGACGCGATTCGTTGAGAGGTAACACGATGTCCAGTATGCGCGGTATGAGTGACACTAACACAAATATGGTCATACTTGGCAGACAAAGCCCTGTAACAAACGCAGATTTTATTGCCGCTTGTAAAAACAAAGAGAAACGAAAGTTAATCTTCCTTCTCTCTCATTCTCTCTATGTTCTCTTTAGCGTTCTTACAAATATATATAACGATGATCCGTCTTGCGCTCGCNTTTCGTATTCTTCCGGGACCTGCAGTCTTCCCCAATCGCTGAACATGTGATCGGTGAGAGTCTTAATCTAGATATACAATATTGTCAGCAAACATTAAATTCTGTCGGTCTATCTGACGTGAAGCTCAAGAATTGTGAGAATTCGTTTCGGTCGATGCGAATCTATACGTATTAATGTACCTTACTAGCCTTCCAGCTGCATGTGTATAGTTTCAACATAATCAAAAGTACTAATATATACGACGGTATAGTCCCGAAAATACATTCTAAGTCTTTGTCGCAATGAAAAAACTTGCACGTCTGGAAACATCGTCGCTCTTTCTAGTATTACAGCTTCTTGTTAGAACTAATTGTCAAATCTCTCCCGTGTTCAATGCAATTAATTAAATGAGGTCTAACCAAACCAAGCGACGAACTTGGAGGGCAATATATTTATGACAAGTAGACTGCAAATTTACCGAAATCAAAACAAGTTAAGTATAACATTGATAACTATAATAACAATACAACTTCTTTCAATCGTTGCTCTGCGCATCTATGATCACGTGAATCATCAGAGAACTTTAAGACGTCCTAAGAGAACATTCAGCGTCATAAAGATGTCTTTAAGACAATAAGATGTCTAAACGACGTTTCTCATACGTCTTATAGACACTCATGTTTCATTGGTATACACTGAATCGAAAGTAAAAAAACGAATGTAATAGATATGTAAATTTGACAGAGGATCTAACCTGTGGAATGATCACAGCAATCGCTGCTAATATCGTTACGCTCAACCTGAACACCTTTTCTTTTTTATTCTGATAAGGCCACACACCGATCAATGATGAAAGTCTCTTTGTGACGTTGTGATAACGGTCCCAATAGAACTCCATGCCTTTCGAATAAGCGCTCCGCCTTCAACTGCTCGCGGCTAACTAAATCTCGTGTATTCCTCGCTGGCAAACAGATCGAGTTAATTATTCACATGGACGACAAAGCGTACGTGTATGCCGAGTGTGATTACTCATGTCGATATTATTCTACTCGAATTCCGTATTGTAGTAATCGCGCGTGTCACGTCGCGCCATGACGGAGGGATATATTTTGACAGCGTAGCATTTGCATTCAGTCGTAGAGAAGTGACAGTGTTACGCGCGCTGCGCTTCCCTCCGCACGGAAGATGCGGTCAATCATAATACTTCGGAGGAGGGAATAAATTCTTCTTATTGTGTTATGGGAAGAATGAAAGGTTCTCTTCTCCTTTTTCCAGGATCAAATATTGGAAATACTCGCGTAACGGGATAATAAGAGATGCAATTCTGAGTCACAACTAACAGAGATCTTTCCTCTTGACGCGACGAGTCTGTCGGCGACAAACGAACTTCGCTTCGCGCATATTATTGATGACGAGGGAAAAGATGAGCTTTCCTGAGGAATACTTTTCAATAATTAATTCAATCTGTTTGCTAGCGAAGAATATTCGATATTTAGTCTCCTTGAGCAGCCGAAGGCGAAGCGCTTATTTGAAAGGCATGGAGTGCTATCAAGCAAGCGTAATCTGTATCTAACATTTTTTCGGTAAATTCAGCTTATTACATCATGACAGAATATTGCACTACATTCATATTGAGACTACATTCATACTACATAATTTAATACTTTACAAACAATTTTTTAGAAACATTATTTAAATATTAACTATTGATTATTGGACGGACGTTAGTACGGTAAAGTATGACATCGACGTTTGTATTACCTTCAAAGGAATAACATTCTTCAAAATTCTTAAAGAGGCTCGAGACCACGAGAAATATTCCGTAATATGTAATACAGAAAAAATAAATCTAATTTCAAAACTAATTTTGTCACGATAATAGTTCCTTTACCGCGGTAAATCCCTGCAGAGAATAAATAAATATCCTGCCAGCGCTGATAGATTTGGGTTGCAGACTTCTTTTCAGCACGTGCAGAATCAGCCTTTGCGACTTGGGAGGAATTTTGTACCAAGTGCTGTTATATCTGCAATGTCCACCCGTTACAAATATTGTCCAAGTTTCTACTAATAAACGTTTCACTGTTTGAACTTATTAACCGAGAATTTATTTCAAGATTATTACGATTGTCTTACATCTTGTCACATATTAGCAGACTGTGGTCTATCAGTTTTTGGCCTTCCCAACAAAAGATGAATAAGTGGACCAGTTGTGCGACTGCGTAGATCGCATACCTCATTGCTTCTAAGAAGTCGTCCGACTGTAGGGTAATCTCGAAAATGACAAAACGGTAAAAGATAATATTTCCATTATTCAATTTTATAATCTGATTGTAATTATTAACGTATTCGGCTGCATTTTTCTTAATTTTATTACATAAAAATCGAACGTGTGCCAGAGGAGCGTGAAAATTTCTTAACACGTAAATACTTACTTGAAATAAGGTGATACTCATTACTATTGTCACTAACAGTAGTTCTATACCGAAATTTAAGGAAAAAATGTTTTCAAGATATTCTGCAAATCTGTAGAAAATTAACGTTACAATAACAACGTTTTTATGACAGCAATTTCTTTTTAAACAAGATATCTGATTGTTGTGTCAGGGTACTTAGTGATATCATTTCGAAAAATTTCTATGTGAATTATGCCCAATAATTACTATTATTATTCATTATGTTTATCGCGATTGCCAATAAACTACCAAAGTTTATATATTTCTAATATTAAACTTCTTATTTCGTTAAAATAATTTCCACTTGAACCCGTTTGAAATGCAGTATGTGGATTCTTTCTTAATCGTTTATTAATTAAAAATTGTTTAGACACCGGTGCTATTATGAAGAAAAATAAATCACGAAATAGTTAATCCTTAAATGCATAGTGTTGCAAATTTGCAACATATTTATTTTTTCGCATATAAATTACTTATCCTCAAGAATAATTCATAACGCTTCATAGTTGCATATTAGCAACAATCTGCTTTAAGTATACAGTTCAGCGTTATGCTGCAAAATGTATTTTGTGTACCATGTTACATTTTTGCAAGTACAAAAAATTTTGAAAATAAAGAGAATTTTTTTTACTTAGATTTTTTAAATATTTTTCTCATTTTCTGGGACTAGCTACGGACTAGCTACGAACCTAAAAAAAATAATTCAACGATAAAAAGAAATTCATGCATTTAAGGGTTAATCTGTTATTAAAATGTAATAAAAGCAAGATCAGGTCAATCTATATATTTTTATCTTAAAGTAAATAAATTCTCTCTCATACGTACTCTAGAGCCGCCCAATGCACGTCTACGCTACACGCCATTCTTTTATTATACGTACGATGCATATCGTTATTAAACATTTCTAATGTGTCGATATTCTGGCGTACTAAATACTCGAAACGGAATCTGTAAATTATCATGCGACACATAACATCAAGAAAGCATTAGATGATTTATATATATATATATGATATAACGTATATATAACACTGAGAAAAAAAAATTATTTGTAACTATAATTGTATAAATAAAATTATAGCCAGGAGAACCATTTTTCAAATAAATGTTATTATATTGATAATAATTCTGCATGCATATTGCTACTATTATTCTTTGGGTTAAAATAAAAAAAGATAGTTAAGGCCAAAAATTATAATAATTTGATGGGGATTTCTTTCAATACATATGTCCTCCTTACCCGGCCACGGCGAAGACGCCGCACACATGTTCGACAAAGGTCATGAACATGGTATCGTGAACAATAAGACCCATTATAGCTATATCAGAAATTATGGCACCTTGGAAGAAAATGTAGAAGAAATATTCTCTCTCATCGACGAAATAATACGCTTCGAAGGGCAGCACTATGGGACGCGATTCGTTGAGAGGTAACATGATGTCCAGTATGGGCGGTATGAGTGATACTAACACAAATATGGTACAACCTGACAGACAAAGCACTGTACAAACGCAGATTTTATTACCGCTTGTAAAAACAAAGAGAAACTAAATTTAATCCTCCTTCTCTCTCATTTTCTCTATGTTCTCTTTAGCGTTCTTACAAATATATATAACGATGATCCGTCTCGCACTCGCGACGTATGTCTCCATGATTTTGTATTCTTCCGGGACCTGCAATCTCCCCCAATCGCTGAACATGTGATCGGTGAGAGTCTTAATCTAGATATACAATATTGTCAGCAAACATTAAATTTTGTCGGTTTACCTGATGTGAGGCACAAGAATTGTGAGAATTCGTTTCATTCGATGCGAATCTATACGTATTAATGTACCTTACTAGCCTTCCAGCTGCATGTGTGCAGTTTCAACATAATCAAAAGTACTAATATATACGACGGTATAGTCCCGAAAATACATTCTAAGTCTTTGTCGCAATGAAAAAACTTGCACGTCTGGAAACATCGTCGCTCTTTCTAGTATTACAGCTTCTTGTTAGAACTAATTGTCAAATCTCTCCCGTGTTCAATGCAATTAATTAAATGAGGTCTAACCAAGCCAAGCGATGAACTTGGAGGGCAATCTATTTATGACAAGTAGACTACAAATTTATTGAAATAAAAACAAGCTAAGTATAACATTGATAACTATAATAATAATACAACTTCTTTTAATCGTTGCTCTGCGCATCTATGATCACGTGAATCATCAGAGAACACTAAGACGTCCTAAGAGAATATTAAGCGTCTTAAAGACGTCTTTAAGACAATAAGATATCTAAACGACGTTTCTCATGCGTCCTATAGACACGCATGTGTCATTGGTATCCACTGAATCGAATGTAAATAACGAGAATAAGAGATGTGTAAATTTGTCAAAGGCTCTAACCTGTGGAATGATCATAGCAATCGCAGCTAATATCGTAACGCTCAACCTGAACACCTTCTCTTTCTTATTCTGATAAGGCCACACACCGATCAATGATGAAAGTCTCTTTGTGACGTTGTGATAACGATCCCAATAGAACTCCATACCTTTCGAATAAGCGTTTCGCCTTCGGCTGCTCACGGTTGACTATATCGAATATTCTTCGTTGCTAAACAGATCGAATTAATTATTCACATGGACGACGAAGCGTGTATGCCAAGTGTGATTACACATATCGATATTATTCTACTCGAATGCCGTATTGTAATAATCGCGCGTGTCACGTCGCGCAATGACGGAGGGATATATTTTGACAGCGTAGCATTTGCATTCAGTCCTTAGAGAAGTGACAGTGTTCCGCGCGCTGCGCTTCCCTCCGCACGGAAGATGCGGTCAATCATAATATTTCATAGGTGGGAATAAATTCTTCTTATTGTGTTATGGGAAGAATAAAAGGTTCTTTTCTTCTTCTTCCGGGATCAGATATCGGAAATACATGCATAATGGTATAATAAAAGATACAATTCTAAGTCACCACTAACAGGAATCTTTCCTCTTGACGTGACGAGTCTGTCGGCGACAAACGAATTTCGCTTCGTGCATATTATTGATGACGAGGAAAAAGATGAGCTTACTTGAAGAATACCTTTCTGTGTTATCAAGCAAGCGTAATCTGTATTTCATATTTTTTCTGTAAGTTCAGTTTATTACTTCACGTAAGGATATTGCAGACTTTTGTTAAAGTATCAATTGACAATTTCACTATTGTGCTACTTGATAATAATTACATTTTTCTCCCGTTCATGTAAAATATTCTTGGAGATTTATGTATTTTTAAATGCGTATAATTAAATGCGTCTTTAAAAATCGCTCTAAAAACGTTCAAATTTCAACCTGCTGTCGAGTATGATGAAGATAATAATACAAAATTTTTTGTTGCTTTCATAACAGTGTGTTATTACTTACACGTATAAATTTGTCTCATTGTCATCGTCATATTTTTAAGTCCTTTTATGAA